AGAGTCACATGCCGCCTGGTTTGTGTTTTGGGAGATGTTGTTTTGTGTATTTGTATCTTGTCTTGATTACTGTTACAAATAAAGGTGTTAAACTTATCCAACACCCCTTCCTCTTACTACTTTAGCCACAACAACAACCCTGTGAGGTGGGTTGGAAAAAAGTCATACCGCCAGCTTTTGAACCTAAGGTAGCACTAGAACTCCCAGTCTTCTGGTGATCGGCCTCAAATCACCCAGCAAGCTTTCCTGCCTAAGGTGGGACTAGAACTCCCCGTCTCCTGGTGATTGGCCCAAAGTCACCCAATTGGCTTTCATGCCTAAGGCGGGACTAGAACTCCCCGTCTCCTGGTGATTGGCCCAAAGTCCCCCAGTTGGCTTTCATGCCTAAGGCGGGACTAGAACTCCTTGTCTCCCAGTGATTGGCCCAGAGTCACCCAATTGGCTTTCCTGCCTAAGGCGGGACTAGAACTCCCCGTCTCCTGGTGATTGGCCCAAAGTCACCCAATTGGCTTTCATGCCTAAGGCAGGACAAGAACTCACTCTTTCGGTGATTGGCCCAAAATCACCCAGCAGACTTACCTGCCTAAGGTGGGAACTAGAACTCCCAGCCTCCCATTTTCTAACCTGGTGCCTTAATTCCCCGACCCAAAGTAGCTCTTGCTATTAATATTCACGCTGAAGGCTCCACTCACAAGCTAAGGCCGTCCCATTCCTTACCGGCCTTGTGTTCCGATCCTGGACGCTTGTTGTTTTTGTGTAATTTTGAAGCTTTAGCAGGTTGATTTTTTAAAAAAATCTCGCTTACTTGGTTATCAGGATCCTCCGGGCTGTAGTGAGTAAGTAAATAAATAAATAAATAAAATCTTGCTGTCCAGAAAACAGCAGGGAAGCCAGGATGACTCACAGGGGAGGTTTTGCAAACTGCGAAATAAATTTGCCGTAGAGGTTTTAATCTAACCTTGGTTTGAAACAAGCTAAAAAGAAAAGAGAGACAGAGAGAGAGGGCAGGGCAGGGCGCTTAGGCAGCGCCAGCGAGAGCACGCGTGTGTGTGTGTGTTTCTTGGCATGGTTCGACTCTACCTGGGTCGAGATTTCCAACCTGCAGGAATGGGGAAAATTTCTCCCTCTGGGCGTCTTTTTAAAAATAACTCCTAAGCATGAGTCACCTCGGAGGAGCCGGGTGGGCAACGTCCGCAATGAAAACAGGACGGCAGAAGGAAAAAAAATAAATAAATTGGTCTTTCCAGATATGTGGTCACGGCCCTAAGTAACCGCACAACAAATGTCCCAGACTAAGATGACAACAGATTCAACGATCCGTCCGAAGAGATCTAAAAGATGCAAAAAATAAAAACAACCCCAAACCCCACCCCAACCACAACACACATTCTGATGTAATGTTTTAGGGGCTATAAGTGCAGCTAAGCGTGTTCAAAAGGAGAAAAAATGTGGCTTGGAAATTGGTGAGGGGGGGACTCGGGGGCTTCCCCCCCCCACCGGGAGTTAGAGAGCATGTCCACCCCACCCCGCTGGTGAAATAAGCACGGATAAATCTCAGTTATCTATAGAAGAGAATCCGGGGAGATCAGGGTGGAAAACTGGCTCCTTGGGGATCTCTGAGCTGGGTGGTTTCCTTGCAGACGTTTCGTGACCCAACTAGGCAACATCGTCAGTGCTAGAAGGGAATGGATGAGTGGAGAGGAGGAGGAGGAGGACTGTGGGGTCCTTGGTGCACTTTGAGCTTGGTAGTTTTCTTGCAGACGTTTTATGACCCAACTAGGGAACATCATCAGTGCTAAAAAGGAGTGAGGTTAGGGAAAACGAGGAGGAGGAGGAGTAGAAAGAGGAGAGGGAGGACTGTTTCTTGCAGATTTTTCATTACCAAACTAGGTAACATCATCAGTGCTAGAAGAGAATGGGTGAGTGGAGAGGAGGAGGAGGAGGAGGAGGAGGAGGAGGAGGAGGAGGAGGAGGACGACGACTGTGGGGTCCCTTGGTGCTCCAAGGTAACACCATCAGTGTCCCTATTGGAGCAAGTGACGCTTTGAGAATTGAAGGGCTTTCGAGATGTTTTGGTTCTGGTCTCCTCTGCTGGATCCCGCCAGGATTTGATGGAAACCCTGGTTTACAATAACCCTGGTTTTCTAAAGTGCGGCTGGGGACCCAAAGCAGGCCAGGGGTTCCCGCCCGTCAGCCGAGAACTCCGCCCACATTCCCGACTTACACCTGCCTGTTTCGATTCCCCCCCCGCCCCCCCGGGGCCATGTGCCTCTGTTTGAAGATAAACGCACCCTCGTCCTCGTTTGGAACACACACCTTTCGCAAATCTGAGCATGGATCATTTCTCTTTCCTGCTAGCTCCAGAGCATGTGCAGATGCCCAATCCTGGTGTGTGTGTGGGGTGTGTGTGTGTCTCCTTATAATTGTTGTTATCATTATTTCTCAAAATTAACTGTACCCAGACAACATACCGTTTATGTAGACATTGTTTTTATGAATAATAATAATTATTATTATGGTTGTTATTGTTATCATCATCATCATCATCATGCTTGGGAAGTGTTCGACTAGTGATTTGTGATACGAAACCCAGCATAGTTCTCTCGTTTGCTGCACTGTCATTTTTGTATATTATAATAATTGCTCTGGGACACAGTCAGATAATCAGTGGGGGTCCCTTTCTTAGCTCCAACTTTGACCCCGCAATGTCCTGGTTACCTTCTGGGCTAGAGAAAAACTCTCCCAGGAAACAGCCTTGGGCTGCAGAGATTCAAGTCCAAAACACGGTCAACAAAAACTGTAACTTAAAGTCCAAACAAGGCAAGATGAGGTCATTAGTCCGGCAGGGCAGGAGCAAGAATTCCAGATGTGAAGGCACGGCAATAACTCAACACAGTTGGGAGGATGCCAGGAACGCAGATTAGCAAAGTCAACACAAGATAAACTCAACGTTTGCTCCCAGCAGCTGCCGCACTCAGCTTGCATCTCTTTTAAACTCTCCTTCCCAGGTGTGGCTAATGAAGGGAATCAGGGCCCTTTCCTCCCCCGTAAGCCATGCAACCCTCGTTGCTCCCTTCTCTGTTCCTCCCTGCGTGTCCTAGGATGCAGAGGGGGTGGGCCTGGGTCTTCCCTCTCCCTTGTTCTCCCTCTCCTCTGCTCGGCTGGACTTTGCCTTTCCCCAGTTACCTCCGCAGCCAACGGAGCCACACTCCCGCTCCCTTGTCAGTTGTTTGTCTTCCTCCTCGGATTCAGACTCCGACGGGGGGTGGAATAACACAGGCACCTGCCACATGACACCCCGGACTTAACAGTTGTCAATAAGAAAGACCGAAAAGTCTGGATAGTGGCCGCGGCCGTGCCTGGAGACAGCAGAAGAGAAGAGGAAGAACTGAAGAAGATCACAAAATACACAAAAACCTACAAATAGAAACAGAACGACCGTGGCAGAGGCAAGCAAGGGTAGTAGTACCCATAGTCATAGGCGCCTTGGGTGCAGCCCCAAAACAACTGGAGCCACCACTTGAACACCATCAAGTGGCATTGACACATTTGCCCCCAGTCAATTGCAGAAGGCAGCTTTGCTTGGAACAGCTTCCATCCTGCGGCGAGATCTGCAACACCATCCAACATCCAGATTTGCCTATCCCAGGTCCTTGGGAAGGGCTCGATAGGTAGACAAAAATGCCAGACCCAATCTAAACACTTGGCTGACTGTGCAAATAAATAATAATAATAATAATAATAATAATAATAATAATAATAATAGTAATAATAATAATAATAAAAATAGTATTTTGGGGATGACTTTGTCCTCTGTCTCTTCGCAAGAATCCTCCACGTCCTCCCCCTTCAAATTTGACCTGGCCTTGGTCCACAGGAGCGAGTGCAAATTCCAGTATCTTGGTATTCGTATGTATCCCAGGGTTTTCCCCAAAGAGGAGGGGGATCAACTTATTTTCCAAAGCCCCTGAAGAGGCAGGACAAGAAGCAACGGGTGGAAACTCATCCAGGAGAGAAGCAACTGGAATTAAGGAGGAATTTACTGACAATGAGAACAATGAACCAGTGGAACTGCTTGCCACTGGAAGTTGTGGGTGCTCCATCACGGAGGGTTTTAAGAAGAGACTGGAGAGCCCTTTGTCCGAAAGGATACGGGGTTTCCTGCCTCAGCAGGAAGGGGCTGGACTAGAAGACCTCTTGAGGAATTTTGGGGGGGGGGGTTGAAAAAGGGGTTGTAAAATCTGACCGACAGTCGTGTCACAGCTCACCAAATGACCACACCGCTTAAACAGGCAGGTTTCCGCTCTCCACTGTGGTTGTAAGTCAAGGACTGCCTCGTCGTAGAGCGGGTTGTCTTTCGGCAGCTGGTGTGAATGGACTGGAAATGCTCAACATTTGTCCTCTTTTTTAAAAATAGATTTTATCTTCAGAACGCCCATCACTTTGGCCAAACACGGAGAGACTCACGAGGAGCATAAAAGCCACTTGCGAAAGGTACGTTCGGCCAGGTGCATTTTATTTAATCAGTATATTTTAGCGGTATATTTAAGCCTGGATTCCCCAACGGGTGTTAAGGAAAACAAACTAAACAGAACGTGCAGCGAAGTCAGATAGGAAGACAGGTAAATGTGTGAGATAAGTTTTCTAGTTAACACGCAGTAAAAATACAGATACGCTTGTGCTATCAAGAATATAGTTTATTCCATTTAAGAATTATAGCATAGTCAAATAAACGGTCCATTAGTCATATATCAATTTCAGTCAAGTCTTGTCGGGGATACTCTATTTGCAAAGTTCGTGTTGAATAGCCAATGTCAGTTCACTTACAATAAATCAGTCCAATCTTTATTTTCTCTCCGTTGAGAAAAATATCAACACTCCTTATTCTCTCCCCGTTTCAGCAAGAACGCAGTCATCAATCCATCAAGTAATTAGGGATCAGTAAGCCAGAGAGAGCGAGCTGAAATTGCCTCGCTTCTTATATAGTGCTTTTACAACCACACCCTTAATTACATTCCTGCAGTTAAAGTTACACACACTTTAACTAACAAACCATGATACCATATTTATTATTTTTACCAAACCAGTTAGGGTAAACAATGTTATCCCTAACAGTAACCCTTGACTTACAGCCGTTGGCCTAGTGGCCGCTCAAAGCTGCAATGGCACTGAAAGACCGAGACGTGAAAAGAGGTTTCCCCATTTATGTCAACTCATAAAATATTTCTTTGGTCTTTTTAAGAGTTGCCAACAGAAAGGGAGGGAGGGGGGAAGGGGTTATGAAAGAGCAGTGCAGCAGCTTGGAATCTGAAACTGCATTCCATAAATGTTTTCAAAGATAGTAACTAGGTGATGGAAGTTTCTGCCACGCAAAATTCTAACTGGAGAGCATGATTGATGACTCTGGGCTATGGAGGTGTCCCATTGGAGAATATGGATTACGATACACCCAGGGGGTGCAGGGGGGGGGAAACCAGGGTCAAGGGTAACAACCAATGTATGTGTCTCAAGAGTTGGCTACGCCCAGGCAGTGCCAGCATGTTAACTCCCAATAAATCCTTTTGAAGTTTTAGAAGTTTGGCTCGAGACTCAGGATTTCAATGGGGTTACAGCTTACACACGATCTACACAAATTCTCATCCGAAGGAACTTGCTGCTGCTGCTGCTGTTCCTTTCTTTCACAAGATCAACCTTGCTTCCTAGCTGAGACATGACAAATGGCAAGAAGAGAAGATGCCGGAGGATTTGATTCACAAGCTGATGGCGGGGGACGACGCTGAAGTGGACAGGAAGAGGACGGATGACCAGAAGAAAGAGGAATCCCTGGTGGCCAGAGTGAGCCACGAATGTGTAAGTGTTGCGGCCTGTTGGCCAGCCAAATCAGTGGAGGAGGAGGCGTGGGAGTCGGGGTCAGCATCAGGGCAACCTGGGAGCTCCGAGGGGAAAGAGGGGATGGAGCTGGCTGAAAGAGAGAGAGATGGAGGCGGAGCCTGGGTCATCTCTCAGCCCTTAGATGGAGAGTCAACAGCCCCCAGGTCTGGAGGTGGCTGAGGCGGAAGAGGATCAAACAGTCCAGTGCTTGATGCACAGAAGGCAGAGGAGAGGAGAGCAGTGGAAATCTATGGGCTGGTCCTTGGTATGGGAGCTCCGAGGGGAAAGAGGGAATGGAGCTGGCAGAGAGAGAGAGAGACAGAGGTGGACCCTGGGCCATCCGTCATCCCTCAGATGGAGAGTCAACAGCCCCCAGGTCTGGAGGGGGCTGACGCGGAAGAGGAGGAAAAGCTGGGTCCAGTGCCTGATGCACAGAAGGCAGATGAGAAATCTATCTATGGGCCAGTTCTAGGGACAGGAGCTCCGAGGGGGAATAAAACGAGAGAGAGAGAGAGAAAGCCTGGGCCGTCCATCAGTCCTCAGATGAGAGTCAACAGCCTTCAGGTCTGGAGGTGCCTGACGCAGAAGGCAAAGGAGAGGAGAGCAGTGGAAATCTATGGGCCAGTTCTAGCTCCGAGGGGGAATGAAACGAGAGAGAGAGAGAGGAAGCCTGGGCCGTCCGTCGGTCCTCAGATGAGAGTCAACAGCCTTCAGGTGTGGAGGTGGCTGATGCGGAAGAGGAGGAATAGATGGGTCCAGTGCCTGACGCAGAAGGCAAAGGAGAGGAGAGCAGTGGAAATCTATGGGCTGGTCTTCAGGACGGGAGCTCCGAGGAGGAATGGAACTGGCAGAGAGAGGGAGGGAGGGGGGGAGAGAGAGAGAGAGAGAGAGGGAGGGAGGCAGAACCTGGGCCATCCGTCAGCCCTCAGATGGAGAGTCAACAGCCCCCAGATCTGGAGGTGGCTGATGCGGGAGAGGAGGAACAGGTGGGTCCAGTATCAAATGACACTGGAAACATGGGAGGCTGATTGGAAAGATGGTTTAATGGTGAAGCAGAACCACGTGTGATTCTGGGCAGCTGACCCCATGAAGTTGAGCGTGGGTGGCTTTTATACCTTCTCTTGGGCTTCCTGTTCCTGTGCAAGAACATGTCTTCTATTGGCTGTTGTCAGACTCCCATGGGGCCATGTAGGGGTCATGTTTGTCTGAGCTCAGTTTGGTTAAAGTTTGCCGGGTGATGCAATGTCCTTAGGAGATGGTGCTCTGCTGCTAGATAATCCTATTATATCCTGGAGAGTCATGTCTTAATCCCATCATCCTGGAGCTGGAGGTCTTTAGTCTGGTAGATAGACTGGCTCCGTCCTGCTCCATGGGCACCAAATATCTGCGTGGGGGCAGGGAGCTGTTTCCTGCCTTTAAAAACACGTTTCTTCTTTTACCATCCAGAGAATTAGAATATCCCGCCTTTTTAACATTTCCTAAAATATTTCCTTCTTCTGGGAGGGGAGCGGCTTCCACGGCGCTCTTGGGGGGTGCTGTGCTTGCCATACATACACCCTGATTTTTTCTTCACTTACCACCAGTTTCCCGAGTGCCTGTCGGATTCCGAAAACGAGGAACCCTTCCAGTGCCGGCCCGTCTATCGGTCGGCTTTTGTCTCCAAGGGCAGCGCCTACTCGGTCGCCTTGCTGGCTGGGTGCGTTTCTCCCCCCCCCCCCCCCCGGCGGTTCCGGTTGAGCGATAAGAGATGATAGAAAAACTCGCTTTGACCCTAAGGAGGGTGGCCTATAAGTTTAATAAATAAATATATTTTTTAAAAGATGCTTTTCAGAAAAACGACTGACTAAACCAGGAGTCTCCAAACTTGGCAATTCCCAACTCCAACAGCATTGGGAGTTGAAGTCCACAAATCTTTATTTTACACACACACACACACATATATTTATTGAACATTTTTCAGCAGTTTAAAATATATGGACATTCTTTACAACGCTACAGTATCACAGATACTCATATGTTATGTCTCACCTGTGCCCACGAGGTGAGAAGTCCAAATTTCCAAATGAATATAAACAAGCAAACAAGTCCAGTAATGACAGGGTTAAATTCCTTGAGCCGGGAAGTTCTTGGCAGTCTCACACAAGCTGTCTGCCAAGTCCGACAATAAAGCAGAAATATAAATCACAAGCTGTCGCCACACAGAGAATCTTTCGAAGCTTCTCTCACTAAGTAACACGTTGTCCCGAACAAATTCTCAGAGCGAACACACCCACTTTTATTCTCTGTGGGGCGTGTCAGTCCCTCATCTCAGTCTCTAATTCGTCCTTTCCTTTTACGTTGCAACTTACACTTTTGCCTGTGCCGTTGTCTCGCATCAAGCCAGCATTCCTCGGCTTGATCCTCAGTCAGAGGCTCTGATACGCTCTCCTGATTATCTGCCGACACCTGAGGCACAATCAGGGAGGAAGGTCCGGCCGAAGAGGAAAGTCCTGGGGAGGAAGGCAACTCCAAATCCACTAACAAAGCAGGCTCAAACCTCAGAGCCAAATCCTCCCCTTCCTCACCGTCCAAGTCTGTGTCCTCTAGCAAAGCAGCCCAAATCCTCCTCTTCCTCATTGTCCAAGTCCTCGACCTCTGACAAAGCAGGCTCAAACCTCCGAGCCACAACACTCATATATACATCGTAATTACATTACTAATCTTTGCTTTTGTTACCAAGTGTCCCAGACCAGATAGAATTCCGATTCACCTCTATCTTTTAATTCCAGTGTAAGCCTGTCCATCTCCGCGCAGTCTAAGATCTTTTTTTATCACTATCCCTTCAGAGGGTTATACTGTCATGTTTCCAGGTTTGTGCGTAAACGATTCTGGCTGCAGTAATTATATGCAAAATAATACATAGTAATAATAATAATAATAATAATAATAATAATAATAATAATAATAATAATAATAATAATAATAATAATAATAATAATAATAATAATAATA